AGAAAAAACTACTAGGAAAAGAAGGTATAATTAACACGTAGGAGAGAGAAAGCCAACATGGATGCCACCTCATCAAAAATTCGCCGGATTGTATCAATTCCGATGAAGGGTATGATTTTGTTATAGATTTGAAAGATGGGGTACCTTTTTGTTACAAACGTAAGATGGAGTACCTTTTTGTTACAATCTTCAAAGTTGGGGTACCTTCTGTGAAAATAAGCCCAAAACAATGTGACGGTTCTCATGACATTACCCGACAATGTCATGAAATAATCTAGAGTGTTCTGGTGCCATGTTCGTAAAATTGATGGTTCTTACCCCTCCGATAAACCCCCTACTTCAAAGTCAAAATTAATTTGTAAGGTGCAATTGAATGAGGTGTGAGAGATAAGAGTTATGAGAGATAGGAACCGTCAATTTTACGAACTGGGCATCGGAGTACCCCTATCTCATGACATGAAGTTCCAATGTCATGTAAACCCCACCAAAATTACAATTATATTTGCAGAGTGCAATTGACGAGATATGAGAATGAATAAAAACACAGACTAGGTGGAGAGATTTACCGGAGGTTACGAAATAGTAACTATCAATTTTGTAAATGAAACATTATACGCCCGCCAATTGATTTGTATCGAAACCACTCAAATTGAGTGGCTCTTGAACTTCACCACTTATTTTATCCTCGCCTCTCATAAAAATTTCAAAGTTGCTAGAAATACTTCAAAAATATATCTCATTTGTACACTATCACTCTCCACACTGCACATTCTTTGATGGGGATAAGAAGAGTAAAGAGTCGATAAGAAGAACAATGTTAGGAAGAATCTAAAATTGTTCCCCATTTGTGTGTCATCACTTTTCTCACTATATATTTCTTATCGATTTTTCAATATGCTTATTGACGCCCAAAATTGTATGTGTGGTGTACACTTTAAGCACATCTTTTAATGTACTCTTAGCATCTTTTAAATAAGAAATGTGTAATTGGGAGATTAGTGGTACAAATGGGTACACCAACTTTTGGTGTACCCTTATTCTTAATCTAAAAAGATTACTTATTTTCATTTTTGTATGTCACATTAGAAATTTTTTATAATGCACATAAAATATTACATTTTTCTATTTTTTAAAATAACTTTTTCTATTCTTAATTGGTCAGTACATAGAAAATCATTGATAAAAATTTCATATCATTCGTTTTGTCCCAAAATAAATTTTTATTTTAGTTTATGTGTTTGATTGAAATTATTTTTTGGCTTAATACATTAAAAAATTGTGGTATAATTCAAAATAAAAATTATTATGAGCAAAAAATTGGGATATATATATATATATATATATATATATATATAACAAATGCTCAAAATAATTCATAATCACAACCCCAAACACTTTTGTGCTGGCACTTTTTAAAGGCCTTGTAGCCACATGAAGATACAAGAGTTGTTGACTTCTGAATCTGATTCTCAGATTATAGACCTTCATCTCATTCTTCATCTTTTTAATTCGATTTAGATAATGTTTGGAGCATGTTTGTTGTTTCAGACCTGTTGTTTCTTGTTCTAGAGTTATACAAGCGATTTGGATACTGGAATCAAACAGAATAATATAAGGATACCAACCAACAAAACTAGTACAGGCCCGTTGTTTTGACAAATCATACAAAACGCGGCGTTCAAATAGATAACTTGAGCAAAGGATACTTGACATTTCCTCTTACCAAAAAACAAAAGTTTCACATCTCTGATATTCAAAACAAAAAGTGAAGTGAAGATTTAGGAGAAGCTCGAACTTGGAGGTGCACCCGCACCACGACCAAAGCCAGGTCTTCCACTACCACCCTGCAAGTTAAAAACCCATACTTCTCTTAGTATCAAGCACATGTTCATTTCGAATGGAGATTTACGTTGTAGTTCTAAGAGTTAAGGCAAGCTGAAAATACGTTATCAAGCACAAAGTTTGGTGTAGTTCTAAAAAAGTGTTTAAGCTAAGCTGAAAATACTTTGAAAAGAACATGCCCCACCCCACCACGGCTTTCTGCATAACTTGATAGCTCAAGCAAATGTTGTTTTGATTTTGAAAATTTGAAGCATTGAAGCTATGGTAGTTAGGTCTATTTTGGTTGCTAGAAATAAAGAAACTCAGGTGAATTGGGTTTGGTGCTGAAATTTTGAGGTTGGAATTCAACTCCTGTTGAATTGTATTCAAAATCCATGTTTCATACATTTCAAAGCAGGCCAATTTCGACTACCAAATAAATCTAAACAAAGCTCGTATGGAAAGCTCAAGAAAGTTAGCCAAGGAGTAGAATTGTCACACTAGGCCTGCCAACTTAAACACGCTTCCATTAAAAAGACTAAAACACAGAAGTAAAAATTTATTATTAAAAAATGAACAAAAATAGAAATCAATTCAGTCTAAGATCAACAGTTTCAAGCATAGACACCATAAACTAAGACATAGTAATACTAGTAGTTTTCATGTTTCAAAAGTCCTTGATTGAGAGCTAACTTATCATTCAGCTTCTAAAACTTATCTTCTTGTTACAAAGGATACATAGCTTTAAAAGAGATCAATCAAACAAAAAAAGCAATCAACATTGATCATCACGTTTCTGGAAATAAGGATGACTATTGGTTGAAAAGCGTGTAAATATATCATATGTTCATATGGCAGTAACAATGATCGTAACAGTTTTTCTATGACTATTAGGTGTCATAAGGGCATATGCTAGGAAACATATAATGTTAAATATTACATTGAAGATCTTTTGTATATATATTACCAAGTGTAACTAATCAATTTCCCATGAAAATTTACCCTTCCTGATTTTATCAAACATGTGACCTTAAAGCACATAACAGAAATATCACAATTGTAAGAACATCAACTTTAATGTACCTTTATTGAACCATTTTGAAAAATAGGTTAAGTGAAAGAAAAAGCATTAACCTTATTAATAACCTCAACGAAAACATCAAGTAAAACGGATAACAAAAACTAGCTGAGGGGTGAAAACTTACCCTGAAAGACGGCTGGAAATTAGCAGGAGCTCCTTCACCCTTCTCTCCACCAAACTCACCAGGACGGCCTCCTCTAGGGGCACCCCGATACCCATCCCTGTCACCACCAAATCTCCTCTCACCATCCCCAGGAGGTCCACTGCACACACAATTAACAAATTTTCAGCCAAATTAGATAATCATGCACCACGCCACAATGAAGTAAACAACTAAACCTCACAAATCACTTGCTTAAAATGCCTTGAATAAGCACAATATTTACCGAGGGCGATCTCCGGGGCCCATGGGCCTTCCCATGGGCTTGGCCGATTTCTTAAGGGTGGCCGGAACAATCTCAGAGGGCAGATTGAGGTAAGTCCTCAGAAATTCGATTCCATCGTTGGTCAGATACCAGTAATAGTGCATCCAAGCAAATGTCTCCCTCACGTACTCCTTCGACTTGAAGCTCTGCATGAGCTTAATCACCTGGAGGTTCGGGACATCGATCAATGGATGCTTCGGCAAATTGTAATCCTTTTTCGCATAGCACACTCCCTCTTCACCGTCAAAACAACAAATTTTAGCAATCGAATGCAAATTAAATCTGATATACTCATACATATCATTAATCGATGGGCATTACAGACTGACCTTGGAAGAGGTACTTGCAGATCTCCTTGCGGTTCTTCTCCGAAATGATCTGAAAGATAACACAGGTTAGGCCATTTAATATCTGAGCAGGTGCGTAAGAATATACAACGGAGTGAAGATTACGGGGAACTGACCATGGCTGCTTTCCGGCGGCGGTCGCTGTAGAGAGACGGGGAGCCTCCGATGAATGTAGCAGCTGGGCCAAATCTGTGTAAACCCTAAAACGCGAAGAGCTATATACTTGGATCTTTAATGGGTCTTTCGGTAATTAACTAACTAGAGGGTAAGGTTCTTTTCCATTTTTAATGTTTAATTATCAAACTAACATTATTTTTAGTTCAGGTAATTTGGGAGAAAAAAAGGGTGAAAAAAGTGGATTTTTTCTCATTTTTTATCAAAATGAAAGAATTTGGTATATACTCAAATATTTTGTTTTCTCATTTTCTTTTCTCAATATTTCTCTATTTTTCTCTCTAAACAAACATGAAAAAAAAATTCTATATTATTTTCTTTTCTTTTTCCTTAAGTGTGTTTGGTTGAAGAGATACTATTTTCCGAGAAGAATATTTTCAAAGGAAAATGACTTCCAATGAAATCATTTTCCTCTCACAAGTCACAATTTCCATTGTTTGGTACGAGTAGAAAAAAAATTATTTTACTAAAAAATTTAATTGTTAAGATTTCCAAATTAAAATTTAAAAATATGTTTTAAAGATAATTTTAAGGTATTTTAGTAGAATGAGGGCATGCAACATAGGGTGGAGATGTTGGCGTAGAGTAGAAGGTAAAAAAATAGGGACAAATAACTCATGTTGGCGAGTGGAGGAGAATAGTGGATTGGGGGTAAGGGGCGAGGTTGAGGCGGGGAGGCGGGTTGGGGTTGGTGTGGACGGGGGGTAGTAGGGGAGGAAGGGAAGTGGGGTAGGGTAGGAGGGGCATCCGGGCATGAGATAGAGGTGGCGCGTGGTAGGGGTTGGGGAAAGGTGCCGCCGGTTCGGGCATGGAAACGTAACTTATTATTTTCTTGATGGAAGACTTTAGAAAATATTTTACTACTACTTAGATAATCAAACAAGAGAAAACAGAATCAAAAAAATATTTTCTCTCCTACCAAACACACTATAAATTTGATTTCTTTTGTCTTTTAATTTTAGTTTTGTTAAAAACTCCAAAATTCTCTCCAAAAGCCGTCATTACTTATCTTATCATTTTCTCTAACCTTTACAATGTGCAAGGAATTTGATAATAGAAAAAATACAATATGAAAAATAATTCTTGTTGTTAAGTTATAGAAGAAATGAAAAAAAAAAAGTAGAAGAAAAAAAAAGAGTTACTATTAACAAAATATACCAGTACAATTAGACATCCAAAATGTTTGATCACTTTACTTTGGAGGAGGGTCAGTGAAAACCTTCATGAGAAAGGCATATTCATAAGCTGCTTCTTCACAATGACCAAAACGCCCTACCTCGCAAAAATGCCCTCCGCTCATCTCTGCTCGCAGGACAACAGAAGGAGAACACGCCGAGCACGCTTGGTCTCGAACCTTGGCAACCCACTTGGCTGCTTCCCATACACCAACCCTGGCCACATTATCATTAGAGGAATTTACTTAAATAGCATTAAAACATAATGACTTTTTTTAAATAGCATTACATGTGTTTTTTCCAAATGTATCACTTTTAGTCATTATCCATTAGTCATTATTCAAGTAAATATTCGTCATCACTGGACATTATGGACATTATTACAATTTAAGTGCTATTCAAGGAAATGACTTATCATTATTTCTAATCATTATTATCAATGTTATCATTAGCAACACAATGGTTTTTTTTACTCTGGTTTCAAGTGCCACAATATAATACCAGGACTTAGTCCACTATTTACCCAAAAAACTAAAATAACATAAAAATGACTCTTTTAGCTCCATTCACAATGAACAAGTACTCCCTCCATTTTGTAAAAAAAGAACATGGTCAAAGGAGAGAGATGATGAAGAGAGGGTTGGTTATACCGGGAGTCGTTGTACGAGGCCGTAACGAGCATAGCAGGAAAGCATGGTCCATGAGAAACATTGTCATATGGAGAATATTTGAGGATGTAATCATAGAAACACGCGATCTCAGGATTCCCAAATTCTTCATAGTCCGAGACCGTGAGAGGCAGTGTAGGATCCAACAATGTATTGCATATATCCAAGAATGGAACCTGCAGATCAATGCGGTTTTATATGGTCTAAAGTATGCGCCCAAGGTGCACCATAGAAGCACTCGTAAATAAAAGAAAGCAACTTGCGATTTCTGGCAGAAGAAAGAAAACAAATTGAAAAATCCTTCTTGAAAAATACAACACGAAATGGATGTAATCAAAGCAAAACTTTTGCTTTGATTCCTTCCCTCATCCAGTTCGTGTTGGATTTTTCAAGAAGGATTTTTCAATTTGTTTTCTTTCTTCTACCAGAAATCGCAAGTTGCTTTCTTTTATTTACGAGTGCTTCTATGGTGCACCTTGGGTGCAAATTATTTTTGTGGATCTTCTCACATAAAAAATCTATTTTTATTTTTTACGGACAGATGCTTATTTAAGCAGTAAGGAAATGCTTATTTTGCTCATATGTAGGTCCATGGTAAGGTCCACCATAGAATTTGCCTATATTTACTCCTTAATTCAATTCATCCCTCCTAATTTCATTATTTATTCTGTTGTACCTCAACAACTCTACAAAAAAGACCGTTCGGTTTTATATAGGTAAAATTACAAGCATTGCGCTAACCTTTAAAATTGCAGCCCGAAAGAGTCTGGGATGTAAGTTGATGGCTGCCCCAACAAGAAGACCTCCAGCGCTAACTCCACAAGCCCCAAGCTTATTTTTATGGGCATACCCCTCATTAATAAGGTACTGTCCACATGATACAAAGTCATAAATGGAGTTTAGCTTATGTAATCCCCTCCCACATTTGTGCCATGAGGGCTCCGGACCATCACCGCCTCTGATAAAGTATGAATACATGTGAACCACACAAATATGACCAAATATGTTATGGGACAAAAATAGGACAGGCAAAGAAAAAGGTGAAAAAAGGACGAAAATATTGGGACGGTTGTGGGGGGGGGGGGGTAACATATTTACCTAACATCAGCAAATGCAATAACCCAACCACGATCGAGTAGGGAGAGACGGTTGCCACACCAGCTTTTATCCAGAGCTTCTCCATAAGCTCCATACCCATGCAGAAGACCTGGAGATTGACCCTTTTGATGCATTTTCCTAGAGTATAGTATAGTCAAAGGAATCCTCACCCCATCATAGGAGACAACTTCTTTATTCTCACAAGCATACACTTTTGTAAAATCTTCCCATACTTGTCCTTCAGTTTCTTGATGCTCGCACTTATGCCTACTTGAGATGTTTGCCAATTCTTCTTGCATCACAATGTTGGTTGATTTCTTTGACATATCATAGTCCACAATAATGTCGGGCATCTGCAACTCAAAAAGAAGAAGGGAAGTTACGCCCTTTGATTGGATTTAGTTGTCTACTTTCTTGTTTTTGCTAGTCCAAGATTGGTTGCCCGGTTCTCATATTCAATAAAAAATCGGGATGAATTGTCTAAAATATCCTAGAGATGATATGGTACATACGGGAGCATTTGATTTGTGCCCATATTCATTTTTAGGTAGATAAGTAGACTTGTATTCTCATTTCTTACTCTTGTATATGAATCCTACCATGTGTAAAACTGAAAGAAAAAGATTCAAAGGACTAAATGGCATCAAAAATATCAAACACGAACATTATTGTAAAGTTGTCAACAAAAGTACCACTGGGGAAGAAATGACAACACGGTATACTGAGCTCATAAACTCATGGTTTGAACCGGGAGCTAGTGAGCACATGTCTGAGGGAAGCGGAAAGAACCATGGACTCAGATCCTCAATCTCCTTTTGTTTCTGCAAGGCACTAATATGAGCCACTTAGTGACATTGGAAGGAAGTAAATACTTCATAAGAATTTATAGATATTGTCCATCGCCAATGGATGTAAAAGAGTTTGAGAATGTTTTAGTTTCGGGCACATAATGGACTAAATCACAATGGCACATTAAACTCTTCTTGTTTCTTACTTCCTACGAAATCACAATAACAGCAACAGACCCAGTAAAATACCCCAAAAAGTAAAGTCTGCTCAGAAATGTGAAAATGGGATCTTTATGAAATGTGAAGTATTTTTAAGGATTGGAAGTCTTTGGGCTTTTGGGGCAAGACTACGTACATCTTGACCCCCATAACCCAACAGAGTTGTGATTATACTGGGTTGTTGTTGTAAGAAAAAAAAACAAAATGTGGACAAAAAATGTAAAATTTTAAGAACTTAAATTAAATTTGATGAGCTTCCTTTATATTTTCCAATTTGAAACCAGCCATTAAAAAAATTAATTTCCTTGGCATTTTTTTCTTTCACTACCAAATATAGCATTAACCTACAATAGCTAGGGATCTACCTCACAATTGACAATAGTCTTCATAGGAAGGGAACATATTGATGATGAACCCGCCTTGTTGACATACAGCACGAGGTGTTCATTAAACATGTCCATATCTTTCAAGAAAATATCTCCACTTGGTACAATGATGTTCTACAACAAAGAAACAGTGTCTAGTGAAAAAAAAGTATAGTATTACGGAGTTCTATAGAATATAAACATCATGCATTGAATTTAAGGAACAGAAAATTACTTTCAAATAGGCAGACTGCAAATTTTCTACCGGGCATCTAGCCAAGTGATAATTTGCACTTTCTGGCAAGTCCATACCGTTATTTAGTGGAGCATTTGTAAGGACATAAAAAACTCCATGATGATGCTCCAAGAAGTATTGTACACCAGAGACGCGATCACAAAACTTTTTAAGTCCACCGCATGGATTGGTTGCATGTATGATATATACCTGCATCAAGACAAACAAATTATTATACATCGACATAAGGAAACTTAACCAAACAAAGCCTAAATTTTCTTGAGTCTAGAACTCTACTACCACGAGGAGTAGAGAGTTGACTCAAAAATGATAATGGGAAAAAAATTTCTTACCTCAGATGAAGTCCTTGAATTGGAATTTACAGTTATAAACTTCCCATCTTTTGTACTTGCAATATCTACACAGAAATTAGGATCATGTTCTGTGAACAGTTCCACATGGTCTATACCACCTGATCCAAGTTGCACACACTGTAGCCTGGAAAATTGCAATATTGCTGATAGTTCATAACATAACAAGATATATGCTTAGTTTGGTAATTGACTGTTAGTTGATAGTTAACTGTTCTAACAAAGAGAGTAAAACCACTGAAAGATGTATGGATATTTAGTTGCTCATTGTTACTTATGTAAAAATGATTCTTTCAAGCCAACTTTCAGGATTTTGAGCTCAACAAGTTTATGAAAAAAAATCCATTTTCCTGAAAACAAATGTATTTAGCTGTCATTACTTGAAACCAGCCAAAATATGGCTGATCAGCCATTCACCAAACATAGCCTACAAGACAAAGAATCAAAGATAGAAAAGAACTTTGCCTGTAAGGCCGTTGTTGTTGGTCAATCAATGTATATAACAAAGACCGGCCATTTGCAGCCCATTCCAAACTCACAACTCCATTGACATTCATATTTGGAAGAACACAGCCGCGCTTAAGATCTTTAACTTGAAGCATGAACTCCTCACCACCGTCACGATCAACTGTGTATGCTATGAAATTGTGGTCCGGCGAGACGCGACACGTACCTACATGAACATATCCTGCAAGGTGTACATATAGAGTTAAGAAAATCGGCAGTTGAGAAATCTAAAAAAGAGTATACAATCGATATACCATAAGTTTCGGCTAATTCATTCCAGTCAAGCATTACATTCTCTCTCTTGAATGCACTTCTTATTTGATTGGTTATTGTACTCATCCAGCCTTTACTCTCACCAGCAAACTCCCTACACAACACTGGAAACTCCTTCCCCTCCGGAATGTACTGATAGTATAACCTGTTTAATTCGATAAAGATTAAACATCAATAATTAAAAAATAAACTAATCGAAATCACGCTCAAATGCCATAAATTCATCATTACAACCTAGATTAAACTAAATGAACCCACTAATTCTTAAAAAATGGATTAACATGTTCGGGCATACCAACCTCGAAACATAAAAATGCTCTTTTGAGCTTAATATGTTATAATACATTCTATTCATATAGATGATGATGATGATGATGATGATGAAGGTGAAGAACAAACCAGGGACCCCATCTTTCAGGAGGCGTGGAAATTTTGGAAGGAATTCTAGAAACCATCTCAGTGTAAAGACACTTCTGCAATTCTTGAGTGTCCTCCATGAAAGCATCCGCATATGCGTTCTCCTGCTGGAGATAGCCCAGGAAATCCGGGTCATCCGTTCTGCGCATCCAGTGATACGGGTCGACCCGAGACTTCCCGTGAGCAGAAACTGTGAAAGGAACTTTCCTGGCGGCTGGAGGAGTCCGGGCATCGATCCGGCGGGGATGCTGGCGGCGGACGGTGGAGAAGGAGTGAGATGGCGCGCTGCCGGGGATAAATCTTGGGGTTCGGTGTAAAAAATGGGTCTTTATGATTGACACCGCCCTGGTTGTTGATCTTGGAACCAGAGCAGCCATGAAATGGTAAATGTGAAGAGATGTTGAGAAAGAAAAGCATTGCAAATTGAATAATTCATTCATCTGGGAAAATCAAGAAAAGCTCAGTGGCGCAGAAGTTATGCCAAAAAAAATGTTGATGCCCAGGATCGAACTGGGGACCTTCAGTGTGTAAGACTGACGTGATAACCACTACACCACACCAACTACTTAGTTAAAAATTAACTCTGTGTATATATGTACATTTTATTTCGTTTAAAATGTATATCAACTAATTTTTCTCTTCATTACAACTTTTTCATTGAAAATTTTAGGGAAGCAACTTTTAAATTCTCTGTATAAATTAAAAGTAAAACCTTTTATTTTAGTTGACATTTTAGTGTGGTTAATGTCAAATAACAATTTAAAATTAAAATGAGCATGTTTTTAAAAAAATTAAAAATTACAACTAATCTATTGCAAACAAGTGTCTTTTTGGTCCTAATCTCATTTTGCCTATTTTGTTTTATAATGTTTGACTGAAATCAATACAATTTAGTTAACTTTGATTTTCTATTCAAGTACACGTTTGGATTTGGTTATCTTTGGGGGGTATTTTTTCCATTTTTTTATTAAACTAAATTTTCAAAAATAATAAAAATTACACTTGGTTGCAATCAATTAGTTTTTAATATTTTTTAATGAGTGTTAAATTTAAATTTAATTAACATGGTAAGAAAAATACGAAAGTAGAAGTAAAATACATAGTGAGTACCAAATTAAAACAAGAGTCTTATATTTATATTCATAAAATGAGAGTTACAATGTCAATATGGACAACATATAATCTAAAAAACACTGTGGAATACAATACAAATATACACTCTCACATTATATAGTGCAAACTTATATTTATGAGATAGATATATGACTCATGAGTCTTACTTTGATACTTTAATTTTTTAATATTTTACTTCTAGTTTAGATGATTTCTTCAATGCTAAATTGTCACTCGGCATTAACGACACAAATATATCAATTTAAATAAAAGGTTTTATTTTTATTTTATCCACAAAATATAAAAATAGTTGCCTTAAAATTTTTATGAAAAAAAAAACAAAATATGGGTTGATTCTATGGTTTAAAAACAAGCCCCCACCACTACGTTTGGTTCAAGGATTTTGGAAGGAAAAGAAAACGATTTTCTCTCATTTTCCTCACCAAAATGGGAGGAATTTGGTTTTCCCTCTATTTAGTACATTTGTCTTTTCATTTTCTTTTCCTTCCACTTTTCCTCTCCAACCAAACATGAAAAACTGTTTTCCATCCATTTTCTTTTTTTTTCCATTCAAATTCCTTGAACCAAACGTGCACGAGTGCGAAATCAGCATTTCTACGCCGGGTTTAAACTTGGCCGCATCCACCAGTTATGGGTTGATTCTATGGTTTCCCTCAACGGCAAGCCCAATTAAATAATGGCCCAATAAACTTAAGATTCGTGGTAAAAAAAATGGGAAGAAAATAATAACAAAGCCCCCGGCGAGGATCGAACTCGCGACCTTTCGCTTACGAAGCGAACGCACTACCACTACGCTACGGAGGCGCTTGTTGACACGTACATGTAATAGTTGTATATAACTAAATAAAAAGAATAGAAAATAAGTAACGCTGTGCACTTATTGTGTCCTATATTTAAAACCTATCTACATGTTTTTTAGGGTACCGACATTTTAATTCATTTGGATGAATTTTTTCCACATATATTATTTCTCTCTAATTCTCAACCTTTACTTGAATAATTGTTTTTCCCCAACTACATTGTAATATTTGGAACAAGTTTAAGTGTGAGGAGATCAGTATCAGTGTAAAATTAATGAAGTGATCGATACATAAAAAATAAAATGATGCATATCTAGGGCAATTTTTTGCACTAAAGACTAAGAAAATATGTAAACTCAAATGTCTTGTTTTACAAATTAAACTCTATCTTCCACTCTAATTTTTTGTGCATCTATAAAACACAATTGTATCCACCTAAAGTGTTTATAAATGCTTTCAAAATTACTTTTGCATGTATCAAATTATGTAGGGTAATGCAATGCATTTTAGACATTTTAAGCTAGCGATTAAATTACGTAGGGTAATGCAATGCATTTTAGACATTTTAAGCTAGCGAAGTAAAAATTATTTTATGAAATGCATAAAAAAATTAGGAGAAAGGATTTTGTGAAATTGGTGGATGGAATTATACGCGTATAATGTTGATACATATTTGAAATAACGAAATTGAATATAAATGTATAGTTGGGCTAAAAAAAATTGAGGCTCCATAAAAAAGACAAATTA